TCCTCAATGCTTATATTTGTCTTTCATGGAAATAACTGAGTGAGGTGAAGAGTTAGTGAGCTAATTAAAATGGAAAGTGAACAGGTGAATCAGTGCTCCAGGGATCAAAGCAACTGTGCCTCTGGGTAAGACACCCTATGGTATAGCATACCCAGTTTACATATACAACATATGTGCAGAGTATCTTATACCATAATACATGCATGCTGCACACTATGAAAGTTTAAATATACAGTGGAATTGAGTATTATCAGATCTACTCTCAGATGTAACAGTGTCTTTCAGAGCACAGATGCTCTCTATCCAGTCCCCATGGGAAGGTCACACTCATTTCTCTCCGGATGAGGTGTGCTGCATTTGCTGTGCGTGGAGGAACACTTTTTTGCGAGCAAACTTTCAGTGTTGGGAATGTTTTGCAGCAAATTAGAGCACAAGCTCACTTCAAATAATTTTTATCCACTTAAACAAGCTCAAACTAGGGAGTAGAACAAGTGCGTCCTTAAAACACAGAGTGAATGAAGTTGAATTTAATAAGCTTCACATTCATGGGCAAGGTTTTGTGAAGCGTGACACGTAGGAGAGCACCAAGGAGAGAGCTACCTTGAGGCAGTGGTTGTTTACAGGACAGCCCTGGAAGAGACAGGAGAGGGAGAAAAACTGCTCCGTTAGTGAAGAGAGGCCTTGCAAAGCACAGCAACAATGGTTAGCGGCACAAGAAAACACGGGAAGACACAGCGGGAAACACGGAAACGGGCACACCGGCTACGCACGGAGAGACCAAGGAAAGGCACCCGGACGAGCCCTGCGCCCCGAGCTGCCCCGGGCGGTTTGCTGAGTGTGACCGCGCCGCCCTCCATCCCCTGTTCCAACTAATTCCATCTTGCAGAAACGCCCCTTCCATGCACGACACGATCCGTATGTCACTGGGCACGGGAAGCCACATGGATGTAGGGGTGTCAGCAGGCTGCGACGATGACCAAACGCTGCAGCATGTGACAGACAAGGTCTCCTCTTTCTGTAAGACCCGAGACACACATTTGAGCTTGCCCTCCAAAGGAGATGAAGAAATGCCCGTTATCAACAGCAGCTGCATCTTGCTTGGTTCCTCTCTTCTCACAACACGTGTACTGAGAGGAACCTCTCCCAGAAAGGGAGACCTACCAAGGGGGTCGTCTGCTTAAGAACCTGCAAATCCTCTGGTTTCCCACATGGTGAGTGGCTGGGAAACCTCGGGATAATGCACAACTGCACGGGGGAATTTCCCATGCCACGCTATAGCGTGAAACAGATGGACTCAGCCAACAGCACTTCTTTAAAGCTGCAAAGTATTCCCTAATGATTAAATACGCACAATGTAAAAATAGGAACGAGTGCCACAGTCAAAAAAGGAGCTCTTCTTTTTATATCTCTCTATACATAAGAAGTGGGGATGGATCTGCCAGTGATATTTTGACTGGTCGTGGTTTCCGTATAGTTTAATGTCTGCTTCCTGAAAACCAAATTTAATTTTTTTCTTTTACATTGAGAAGTGTCAGCAACACTGTTTCTCTTCATCATGTTACCTTCAATGAACTGCCTAAAAAACCAAATATTGCTTCAAAATGGGGACTCACACCTGCTAGAGATGTGCTAGGGAACAAAACTTTTTTCTTTTTTTTTTTAATTTCAAAATAAAATTTCAAAAAAACAAACAAACTGATTGCAAAATGAGGAAGCTCAGTGGGTTCTCAAGGAGCTACTGAAACAGTTCCCAGCCCCTTTTGCTGCAGTCTGGACCAGGTATCGCAGCAGCGACACGGACACTGTCTTGGAATTAAAACTGTTCTAATATGTTGTGGCTTTTGATTATAGCAAGGAAAGAAAACATCCTTTTGACTTAGAAGACACCAGAAAATGCCAGATTACTGCAGCAAGTATCGGCCTTCTCTTTGATAAAGCAGAAAGAAACTGCCTAAAAAAAATACAGGGAGATAAAGGGAGAGTTAAAGATCTAATAAATGTAGCAACTGCTGTGAAACAAACTGAACAAATGGAATGGTACTAAACCAAGAGGCCTTAGAACACACAAATGTCTTAAAATGAAGATTATATGGGCAGTAACCCATTCCCTCACCATAATTTCTGTTTGTCTGGATCATTTTAATTACCACAGCTTACTGCAGGGACTCTGATTGCTTACGCTGACTACACCCTGGTATAGCACTTAATAAACATTAAGTTGCACCATTTAAATATCTCCCTGCCTTTTTTTCTTTGACCAGCAAAATACTGTAACAGGCGAGCACATCCATAGCAAATGGTGCATATTGTAGTTAAGAGACTCCCTGGTTTTGCTGATAGAGCCACCTGGGACCGTCACCAGTTGCCATGGCAGCCTGGGCACCAGCAATTAGGGAGCAGCTACAATTATTCTGCATCCGCCTCTTGAGGAAGGAGTTTCCTTGCAAGATGGCCATAAATAATGTCATTCCGGAGAGAAAACTCACAAGCAAAGGTTAAAACTAAATGAAAAACAGTGGCAGATTTGATCCTGCCTCCACTTCCTAGCAGAGGGTATTTTTATCTCCAAATAATAATAATGATGCATCATCTATAAATCATTGGAGAGAGATTTGCTGCTGGTGCTAAGTGAGTGGGACCGTCTTGTCTGGTTCATAACTTCCAGTGATAGGCGAGACCTCCCCCCAGATATACGTAGATTTATTAAGTGGATACCTGCCTTATAGAAAATACTCTATTACACCAAGCAATAATGTATCTCATTTTATATACAGTGCACAACACTATATAGTCAATGAGTGTAGATCACTGGAATGCAAAACCCGAAGCTAACTCACGTCTTTTGAAAGACAACCCATAGTAAAAACTAAACTTATTTTGCAAAGTCTCAGCGTTGATTCCATCAATGAAGCCACTGTCTTCCCTTTCCCAAATTTGGTCCCATTTGGTGAGGGCACCAACATGACACCTTCAGCACTGCAAGCTGCAAAGCCTCAGATGCACGGTGCTGAAGCTGAACTAATTAGACTGCAAGACACACTAATTATTTTTGAGACGGAGCTGGCCCTATGCAAAACTGCTGTTTCTGGGACTCAATCCAGCAGCTTTCTGCAGTGCAGCCCCACAGGACTTCTTTTCATTGCAGAACACAGATAAATCCTAACTATTCATTCCACAACCCACGTATTTACAGCAGGTTCAAGAAGAAAACCAAGATATTATGGATTCAACATATGCAGCAAACATACTGCATATAATTACGGATGCTTTAAATGAGGTATTTTTTGTGATACATATCCAAGTCTGAGAAAGAGATAAAGTTGAAATAAAAGAATGTTTAAAAAGATACGTGCCAAAGATATGTTCACCAAGCAATTTTGATTTAAGTTTAGGCCATCTTCTCTTGTCTGAAGTGTAACTTTGGAAATAGCTGCTTATTATATCGTGGCCCAAGATAGCTGATTTGCAGGCAGGTAAACCTGATGCAGAGGAATATGAGCTTCCTCCAGCTGGGACAATAATGAATGTGCCCTTTTCCCTTTTATTTTGGTACTTGTCTTTGTGCTGTCTCTGTCCTAAGGAAAAAAATGGATTTCTGTATCTAGGTTACTAACGCTAACACACACACAGCTGCTGAATTCTAAACTCTGCACTTTGCACAGAGATATGCAGAGATATGGGTGAAAAAAAATTGCATTTAATGTTATTCATTCTAGGGAGGATAGAAAGCGAACATGATCTTGAATAGAAAATGACCAAGTGCAGTAAAATAAAATCACACTGGTCAAATCACAATTGTAAGGAAAGGAAAATGAAATGGAGATTATTCTCAAATGTATAACAAAAACCATAGTTCATGCTGCAGACAAAATTATGGTAGCTGATCCAAATGTGTTCAGAAGAAATTGATGCACCTTTTCTTTTTCCTTCTTGCAAGTTGAACATATGCCGTTTTTCCTCACTTTCTTGGGTTAACCCATCTTTTATAATAACAATGTAGAACTCTGCCTGATGGTGAACATAAAAAATTGCCATTTCAGGTTGAAAGGAACAGGCTGAATGTTTGTATATGCACAACAGGTACATTAATCACTTTCTGGATAAACAGCTAGACTATAGTTGCAAATCTTTGACTAGGAGAAAGAAAACAGAATACTGTCAATCAGAATATTTCAAATGCAACGTCAGTACCGCATATACTGCTGGAAAAAACACTCAGGTCAAAATTGCTGGACCCAGCAGAGCCATGAGCAACACCTCCAAGCTATACCTTACTTGGAGCTGGGTTTAATGGACAGCAAGGATTTTGCTGTAATATTGTCTGCAGTTGTCAGAAGAGGCAGAGTTGCTGGCTAAGTCTGTTCATTAAGTCACGACTTGCCAGGGACAGAGAGCCCACGCTTGCGACTACCAACCGTTCCAATTGGTGTCACTGAAGACAAGCAGACTCTGCTAAAAGTCATGTTCTTCTGCACATAACCAGCAATACCACTTTTCCTGAAACTTCTGCACCCCTATTATAGATTTCAGAATTCCAGGTAACAACCTTCTTAAAGATTTTGCAGTTCTAAATAATCACTACATAACACTGTAATTATTTTCCTTAAAACAGTCTGTTTGGTTAAAAATAAATATTTAAAACATTAAAATGCTGCTATTTCCAAGAGCTTCATTTTTCATTAGAGATACTAATGTTAGTGGCTGATAAATGTTATAAACTCATTGCAATTAGTACATGTATATGACAAAATATTTTACAATAGCAACTTTTGAGTGTTATAACACAGAATCACAGAAGAGCTGAACTATTAAGATACACGGTACCACTGCTGAATTAAACAACTTGGTTCAATCTTCAAGAAATCATAAGGATCATACTACAATCCCAGGCAACAGAAGTTATCACTGTCTAATATATAACTTTTTAATATGCATTCTTATGTAACAAAAGGAAAAATGTATGCAACATATAGCTGTACCCACTTATGTTTAAGCCTCACCTCAAACTTCTGTCTGAGCTCTGCATTTCCATCTTCATCAGCATCGGGAATTGGAACATTATAATATTCACCTTCTTCTTGATTCAGCAGCTTGTACCTGTGGAGCATTTGAGGAAAATGGTATTTTTTCATGTTTATTTTCTTTAGGTTTAAAATTTGATGTAGTTGCTTGTGCGTGGTTTGCAGCCATGTGAGAGGTATGTAAAGAACTGTTTTCAAAGGTCTGTAGCAAACTCAGAAATAGAACATATTGCACCTATCACTAGATCTTTTATCTCCACTATTTGTCAAGACACCTTCTACAGTTAATGGAAAGGGAAATATCCATCTCCAATGCTCTATGATACGATGGAGGAGTCAACCCTGAAGGTGCCTATGAAGCCCTAGATGATTATCCCCATCGAGACCCGTACTTTGGGGAAGGTGTGATGAGCTCTCCCCCTAGCCTGGGCTTTAATAATATGTTACATACAGACCATGCAATAGGAAAGCATTTTATCAATTCAGTTCCTCCATGCTTTGAAATTTGCATACATAATAGGATATGCTTAGAACTAACTATATCATATTCAAGATCAAAACAAAATTCCTATCACAGGACTATGCAAATAGAATTGGGCTTGCAGCAATTCCCAGCTGGAGCAGAAGTTTCACGTACACGACCAAGCTCTCCAGTTTTAGTTGCATTTTCAGTAGTTTATAGCATATGAGGTAGAGGAAAAAGCTACAAAAAGTAGGTTATATTGAAAAAAATACTGTTCTTAAACTTATTCGTTGTGTGACATATTCTCTCCCACTCTCTTTTCAGAAATTCTTACCATCCACTGGCTGGCATTTTCATAAGCTCTGACACCCCAAATGACAGTGATCCCATGAAATCATTTCTGGTCGTTCGATCCCAGTCCCAGACCTCTACAGATAACCGTCGATCTTTGTCTGCAGGTTTTAATTTACTAAAAAAAGAAAGGAGAAAAACAGAAGAGTCGTTCATGCAAAATTCAAATAAATGATTCTATACATAAAACATATTACAGCAAAAGCAGTTAGCCAGACTTACAAAGCAAACGACTCATTCCAGTGCGGATTCAGTGTAGAACGGATGGTTTTTGTTTTTTGTTTACTTTCATTCTTAGGATCTGGGATGAGTTTCAGTTTAACGTAAGGATCTGAAAGTCCATTTGGATCCATAGGAATTAGATTTTTTGCTTCTCGCACTGTCAATACAAAACACGTCACTGATTTGTATAGGATTACATATAATCATTAACAATGTAGTAAAACATCGACTAAGTTATTGAAACGTGTTGAGTGTTAAAACCTTGTTAGCTGCTGTGGATAAAACTAGTTGTACCATGAAGTTGCACTTAGCAATATTTATAAGAACAGTAGAGAAAAACAAGAGAAAGTGGCAATTAGTAACTGTTGCCTTGCTTCAAAGTAGCTCTTTTTCTGCAATAGGGTGATTAAATCCACCTGTGTAAATCTGCAAGTGGGTAGTTTGACATATATTTATACTTATTTATAAAGTGTGTGTATATATACGTTCTTCAAAAACAGGCTGAAAAAAACATTTCTGTTTTCAATTCTTGAGTAAATAAAAAATATTAAAAATTAGCACACTATAAATGATCTTCAAATACTTCTGAAGAATTAAAATTAAATAAGTTCAGTTAAATTTTATACAACCCCAGAAGGGCTCTGTCCCATAAAGGAAGTAAAGGACGAAGTGACGGTTTCTATGCAAATTGTGCTCTGCTCCTCTTAGCCCCCATTAATTCTTTTTTGTTCTCATATATCTGTTGCTTAAAACTGCACTGCTTGGTTGAGCAAATGAACTGCTACCTTAAAACCGAGGCCCTTCAGAGAAACTAAATTACAATTTCTATTTCCATACTCCAGCTTGATGTAAATGAGGAGCCGAATTGTCTCTAGGTTCTACACCTTCACTTAAATAAATACAGGAAGCTTTTCCTTAAAATTCCTTGAATAAAACTGCTCAGCTTTTAACAGGGTGCTGTCAATTCTAATCCTTGGTATTTAAATTCTACCTGGGGATATTCAGCGTGGAACTAAGCAGGTTTTGCAGCAATTGGTTTCTTGGATGCAGAAGGATTCCCTGCAGCTCCCTAGGAGAAGCTGTGACTACCAAGACACGTCCCAGTGCTGGAGCAGCAGGACCTGGCAGTGCATGCAAGGCTACGTCTTGCTCTTGCACTGAGTAAGAAAAAAAGCCTTCTAAATACCAAAAAATAGAAGCTCAGAGATGAATTGGAAAGGAAAGATGCAATATAAGCTAAACACAGGTTGCTAAAGAAAAAAGTCATTATCTCAGTCCTTGTTTTAAGATGCTTGGTCCATTTGTATTTTTGTCGGTGTAATTAGTACCCTTAGACATCTTTTCCCAACTGATGTCACACTTTCTTTCTTGAGGAAACAGCATGATGACACTCGTGCAGAGCAGAGCTCCCACAGAATTACCATCCTGGCATCCCACCTCTTTGGCAGCACCCTATTTTTAGGGAGATGGGTCAGGTTTCTACAAGGGGGCTGAAAGGAAGAAAAGATTTCCCCTCCCCATCAGAGGCACTATCTTGTGCGTGGGGTTGAAACAGAGGAAGTTAAATCAAAAATAACTCAAAAGCAAATAAATTTACTTTCTGCGGCTGATTTCAGTTATAGCTGTCAGCTCTCAGAATAGCCCAACAGTATTTCTAATTTGCATTAATAATCATGATACCTTTCGCTCACCAAATAGGAATGACATCAAAGATCACGCATTGCTTTATAATTATATGTTCATTAAAGTCAACACCGTGACAGAGCTGCTGTTGCTATTTAGAGGAGGTTAAAGGGAGGAACGTGTCTGCGTCATCAGGAGAGCGAACTTGGATGGAAACCTTGAACGTCGCCCGCGGTTCCTGTCACCGCCGCGGCGCTCAGTGACGGCTCCTCAACTGAACCAAGCACGTCAGTGAGTTTCGTCTCCTAATGCTTTGTCCAGATTTGTCCCAGGGAAGAAAGTGTAGCATTTTCCAGCGTAACGTTAATGAAGAAGAGGTCATACTACCTATTCAGCAGAAAATGAGGACTATTTTATAATCTTTCTATTTAATTATGTGCTGGCTGTATTGCAGCAGCATCTCAAAGCCATGCTTAAAATTGGGACGCCCACTTTTCCAGAAATAGGATAAAGACATAAGCAAATACGGAGCTGTTTCTCAGGCACACCTACTCTAAATAAATATCAAAATAAGACAGAGTGGGATGGTAGCGATCAACTGACATTTTCTGTAAAGACACAAAATTGGGGTAAGTGAGGTTTTGAGGGATCGCCCAGAGCGCGGGTGACAAAACCCCAACATCTCCTCAAGGGATTTCAGGGGTCACCAAGCAAATGGGTTTGCAAGGCAAACGCAGCCACAGATTTCTATCTTCTTGTGATAGCAGCAACGAGATGAAGTCATGGGAATGAGTAAATGTTTCTGGTGCTGGCGCAGGGCACAGATATTAACAGCGCACGTTTACTCAGTTCCTTTTCAAGTGAGTCACAGCTACCTTTTTCCTGCATTCCCCAATATTGATAACAAAACAGTTTACTAACCCCAGGAACCATTTCTTGCCAATCTCCTGCTCCCTTCAGGCAACTCAGGAGAGCTGAAATCTCCCATGGGAATGTGAAGAGCTACTTTTAAAGGGGGCTCCTGGTCTCCAGCGATTGTGCCGGCAAGGGGAGGCGCAACAAAGGGGAGACCATGGCCAGAGCTAATACTGCGGAATATGAAACTTCCTCTATTCCATAACTATTCCCCGCTTAGTTAAACTTGCTTTGAATATCCCTCGTGAGACCACTGCCTACCCACTGCTCTTGATTTCCTGAAACCTGAAAGACGGTAACGGAATGGATGAGAATATTAGAAAACTTGAGTTTCACAGGTGATTTATACACAAGAAATAGATGAGCAATTAATTTTCCTTCTAGAACAAGATGAAAAATGAACTAACAGTTCATGGTACTTTATGCTTCTGTCTTTTATTAAGATAGCCTCTCTTACTAATAAAAAATGTACCATCATCTCTAATACTACTTAAGTACTTGTGCCTGCAATAGCTTCACTGCTTTAAATTTTAACTGGAAATCTTAGAGGCGCAACTGTATTTTATTTTTAGAAAACCCTATTAAAAACTTAGTAAAACATGAGTTTTAACACAAAAATTGGCTCTTTCGTTGCATGAAACTGTCTGAAAAGTGAATCAGGATGAAATTTCTAATTCTAATTATGAAAAATTAGTACGTCTTCAGTGCTATGCAGAGCTTATTGCTTCATGGTAAGCATAAAGAAAGCAAACGTAACGAAACGAGAAGCATTTGGTTGTTCTTTGGGCTGGGGTTTGTCAAAGGCAGAGCTCTGTCTGTAACGAACCCAGCAATCCTGCGGATTCTGTGAACGCCAGAAAAGGGAGAAGATATTAGTAAGGGAGATGAAACATGCAATTCATATTCTTTGTGACATTAAAAATGCCTCCCACATGACACTAATTCTTTGGGACTGCTTTACAGTTAGCTGGTACTAAAAGCTGGTCCAATAACCAGAATATTCATGTGTTCCCTTTTAAAATCAGCTGCAGAATAACATGAAATTAATGCTAACCAAGAACACCACTACAGGCCTAGACAAACAGAAATAAAATTCTTAAAGTATGTGTGTGCCTAAGGAAGCAATTTTTATGAGAAATTTGGCAAAATTCCCCAGGCTGCCTCCCCAGCTTGTTTGGGCAGAGCCTTCCTGCAGCAAGCAGCGCGACGAAACATTAATATGCAGCCCCACAGGGTGGCTCAATGTAAGACACTCATAAATAATTTGAAAAACGCACGGCGGGGAGCACAGAGCTCCCAGTGCGACTCTTGTTGATGGCCTGTTATGTGCTCCCAACTTCGGCAAGGATCGCGGCGAGCTTTCCTTTTCTTTTAAATAACAGGAGGATAAAATGAGATTTCCTGCTTTTGTTGTAACTAAGAAACATACAGAAAACTGAGTACTGTGGGCTGGAAAGCTTTTTTTTCCTTTTTTCTGTTTTTAATTAATGAGAAGTTTAGGTAACAGCAGGGAGCAATGGATGCAGCAAGCACTAATGCCCTGCCTCTAAATTAGAGCCTGTGTTGGGAGGGCAGCTCTTCATCGTCAGCTGCTGTCACAGCTCCAGTCCCAATAATGTGCCCAATGTGGCAGCTCTTCCTATGCCAGTGCTGCAGATGGGGTTATTTTGTCACAAAGGTTACTGTTTACTCAGTATAAAAATAATCCAAAAAAAAAAAAAAAAAACAGCCAAACTGTGATCTACCCACCTACAAATGCACTCACAAGAGCTGCAAATTAATCGTAAGATGGACCAACAAATGCATGTAAAGGAGTGACAAAACTTGAAGGCACATGAAGAGAAAATACAGTGCAAGAAGCAAAGGGATTCAGAATAGAAAGAACTGCTTAACTATGTCTGAAGGCAAAATCCTTAAGTAATCAACCTATCGAAAGGTCACTGATTAAATAGAGCCCCCTCTAAAAAGAAAATTACCAAGTTGATTTACTTCAAGTGCAATAAATAATTAATATCCAATGCAAGGCTCAAGCTAATTGGTAGACAGTAAACTGCTAATATAGAAGGGCTGCAACACAGAATGCAGCATATCTCTCACCATTTGTGCAACTGAGAGAGATCTCGCTTAAAATTAAGTTCCTGACTAGAATTAAGTATATTAAGCTTATACAGGACTGAACCATTTCCTCTACTACCGCAATTCAAAAAATCAAATAACCTGACTGACCACTGGACAACTCCATGGGGCATCTTTATTCTGCTTCATTTCTTTCACAGTATTGGCTGGGAATAAAAACAGCAGTATTATTTACTGTATTTTATTGGGAAAATGGATTGCAAATATACACACCCTGTGGCTTTTATTGGCCACATAAGCCACCAGAAAACCCTCAGAGGGATTACACAAAAATAAAGCTGACCTGCAACACATGAAGGGTGTCCCCCCACGTGGTTATTTCTGGCCATAGCAGAAATAGTCAATTTTGCATAGCAATATGTCCACAAGGTAACTAATAATTGCTAAATTCCTTTCCAACTAAACATGCATAGAAGTATCTGCAAATCTAGCTGGTCTGGCATTACTTTGTATACAATTTTCCACCTAAATAAAAAAGCTTACTTTCAGGGCAACTGACATTTTCATTTAAAACAGTTTTCTGAAGCTTGGGAATGCTGCAGCACCACAATTATTATACACATAGCAGTGGCACAGCAAACATTTTTCTTGTTGTTCAGAAACATGCTTAATTGCAGGATGGAAACGCTGGAAATGTTTTATTTATAAACACGCAAACAACAGTGTTTGCCAAGTGCACTTGTACCAGAAGAGCTTGCAAAGAAAACCTGGAAAAGTCTGTAACAATTTGACCATAGCCACCTCTCAGAAAAGAGCTTTCCAGGTAAAATTAGCAAGCAAAAAAAGTTTGTATAATTTGGTACCTCAAAGACTCATGATCAATGTTTTTGATGATGAACCTCATGAATTATCAGAAAATAAGTACAGGCTATTTGTAAAATTCTGTGCCCATGCTCAAAATTTAAGCCATATTTTAATAACCTTGCTGCAAAATGGCCTAAAAGACTGTAAATATTAAATTTTGTCACTTGGATGATTTTCAAATGAGTTCTCTCTCCTGGTACAATTACTCAGAGGGCTGCAGCACCGCCCCCGAAACGCTTCACTACTTAATGAAAGGAACATTCTCTTAATGACAGCACCTGGGACAAATTTACCCCTCCTGCGTCAGGAGGGAGCACTTTGCAAAGCTGGCTGCAATGAAGCATCACTTGAGATCCATCCTGATCCCAGGGAGCTGCACGATACTGTTGCTGTCCCTCTGGACATGGCATGACGGGGAGCACGGGGTATTTGGTGGCAAGTGACAGGGGCAGGAAGGAAACCTGGTGGCTCCATGAGCTGTGACAACTCAGCGCGGCCGTATGGCTTCCTGTAGAGCAGCTACAAGTGGTACAATATTTATCGTGATTTATTCAGTGTCCAAAAAGCACGTAAGTGGGAGGAATATTATTGTTTTGGTGCATTGGAGGTTCTAGCAACACTGAAGCAGTGCAGTCATGTCCAGCATCCACAGGTTACCTACGACTGCATCAAAGGGAGAAGCTAAGACCATCTAAGAAACTTCCCGTTTGCGCTGTTAACACTTCGCCCTCAAACTTAAATCCCCATTGCAAAGTCAAATGGGCAGTGACAACAGCATCAGGCCTTCCTTCAGAGTGGACACTGTAAAAGCAACTTCTCGCAGTACCGATTTTAAAGCTGTATTAAGTGTGGTCCCTCAGTTGCCTTAAGATGAGGTGACCTGGGACAACACACTAAGCCATCCACTCTCCTAAAATAAAAGCTCTTGATAAATGTATTGTGTTTTATGACCATCTTCTACTGTGTCTCCTAGACTATATGACACTTGCTTTGTTTTTAAATTGCCACAACATCTTCTGAGCCATTAGAAATTAGGACTCTCATTTAGAATTTAGATGTGTTTTACACTTACCTAGACCTGTAAGAAAAATTTAGCAAAAATTCCTGTTATTTCTTCCCTTCTTTCAACTCTGTCCATTCTAATTCCTGTGATCTCCCTCTGAGTAAATACAGAGTAATCTGATTGGCACAGGACATTTTACATATTTGCATCCGTTGAAAGGAAAAATCAACAAAAAGTTTTGTAACCAGCTTGTAGATACTTCAGATACCAGATTAATTATCAGTTGACCCCAGTTACAATAAAGAGCGTGTACAGAAGAAATAAAACCTATTCTAAATACACTTTCTTAGGCGGATCCTAAGTGGTAAATTCCACTCTGAGATCCTGAACATGAAAAATCCACTGGAGTTGAGCAACATGCCTATTTAGAAAGACAAAATAGTCCTTTAACCAGAAAAAAAAACCCTCCTATTTTCTGAGCAACATTCACTGCAACTTTAGACTTGGGAGGGAGGAGTGTGCATGTGAACACGTATGTATGTACGCCCAAAGCTTGCTCATAAATCCTGAGCAAAACACCAGGAAATGAACTGCCACCCTCTTTCCTGCCACCCTCCCTACCGTGGCAAATACTGCATTACTTTAGCTTTGCAGAATGTCATGATTTATTTTTAATTTCGTAATATGTTGGGAGTAATACCTGGGACTGAGTCCAAGTAGCCTTTGTGTGTTAAATACTCTCAAATGCAGGAAATTACTCCTTCCTTGGTGGAAGACACTGGGGTATTTCTTGTGTTTTGAACATGATGGCTAACTCTGGGGTATCTAGTTATCCTACTGTGCTGCTCGCTGCAAGAAAAATGGACTTTATCAAGATTTTCTTCTCAAGAAGCTTTTCAAGATTTGTCTAGTTATTAGTCTTGAGTTTTTAAAGCTATTATTCTAGTTTTCATTCCTGTACTTATTTTTGATGCATGTGGATTTTTCAGAATGTGAATTAACGTGGCTTTTCTTGATTCAGGGAGATACAGAATGAAATCCTAGTACTATTAAAGACAAACACCCTGTCATGGACTTCAATTCACAAGATATAGATCAACGTACATAAGCCCATGGTGTATATTACATATTTCAAAAACCTTGCAAACTTCCAAAAGATTATTTACCTGTTACTTCCAGTTTGTCCCCAGTGACTTCAGCTTTCAGATAAATCCTTCCTCTTTTCTCTGTGTGATCCATTCCACAGAGGCTCGGGACATTTATCACACATTGCTTATGCACATTCATATCACAGGCTGTGGATAGAAAAATGGTTCAGACAAGCAGAAGAAACCAGCAATACGATTACACTGCAACCACCGAGCAAGGGAAAGCTAGGATTACAAGGCGTAATCGTTGGCAAGACTTGAAGATTATAACTGTTTTCTTAAAAAATATTTATTTTTAACTGACCAACACGGATCATTTGTATCTTAAAATTTGGTAGGCAGTGGAAGATGAAATGGATTCTACTTCGGAAACCGGCTTTAGCACCGAAGACACCTGCATCCATACTGGAATCTCGCCTGGAAATGCACAGTGCTGTAACTGCCACGGTCCCTTCCACGGAAGGGTGTTATCCCGGGTCTCCACTTACTTCCTAAACCACCGCTTGGCAACACAGAAGAACTTACTGTCACATTTCATCCCTTGGTGGATCAGCCCGTAGAGCAGGGACCCACAGTGGTCGCAGAAGGTTGGGCTGCCATACGTGTGGATCTTAAACTTGTGCTTGCTCCGGGGGTCCTGCAGCAGAAGCAGAGAGAGATCCTCAAGATCCTCAGCATAAACCAGCTAACACAGGACTGTAAAAACCCCAAACTTTGCATCTAGGCAACCCATGCTACAGAAAATCCACTACAGCACGACTTGGCTGGGCACCGGCGCCTGCGACGGCTCAGGGGATCTGCCACATTTTATCCTTATTTACCTTCATTTTGGCTTTGCTAGAAAGAACACGTCAGTTTAGCAAACACGGACTTGTTTCTGCTGCCCAACTACATTAAAACTTCAATTTACGGACTGCACATAAAGAGAATGTAGAGTTATAGGATTAACTTGCAGCCAATGTGTCCGTACTGTCTATTTATTCATAAACTTTGTCTTAACTGCAGCTTGTCCCCAGTCGCCTTTCTGAAACAATGATACAAAATACAGTAGAATACAGTTTACTATGGGACTAATGTGAATTATGGTACAATGACCACAAAACTGGGATTGTAGTGATGGGACCATCTTGAAAAGCTGCACATTTTCCAGCTCTGTTATTGCAAGTGAAAGTGAACTACTACTAACCTGGCATGTGATAAATATTTTACAGAGACTGCTATTCCTGTCAAGCTTCCAACACAGAAATTTATAGCGAGGAAATTCTAAGGCCACCAGTAGCTTGGAAAATTTAGGACCAGCAAAATGGCATACTGCCAAATCTCTTCAGAACAAACATGCTGCAGAAATGCAGGAATTTGTACAGAAATGTGACTATCAGAAGACAAAAACTTACTTCCAAAACTTAGTATTTTATGGTTTGTGGAGAGTTTTTTTCTCTGTTTTGTATCAGTAAGCCTTTCTAGTGATTTTTTTTGGACTGACTGCATCTGTGACCAGCAGCTCTCACTGCACAGACAAGCTACATGACTAACGTGTTGCCCAAGATGCTGGTGAAGACCTTGGAGCAGGGCTGCTCCGGGGAACATCTGCTTCGGTGTTCCTTAGGGATGCAGCCAGCGGCGCCTCTGGAGCGGGGTCATGGGAACGGTGCGTCCCTCAAGGCTGATCTGCTGGGGAGGGTCTGGCTGTGCCCTCCGAGCAACTTAAAATATATTTTCAAAGCTAACTGTTCATTAATTTATTTTTGTTTGGAAGATGTCAGGCAGCTCGCTGCCTTAGAAATACATATTCTTAAACATTATTTTCCTAAGCACATCTGTTGCTAAGAAGGACAAAACCCCACAGCTTCTAAGAATGACACTGAATAAACAGACTTCCAAAGTTGCGTTTAACAGCTGACGTAAGTGGTGTAAGACTATGAAGTAATGATATAGAGGAGAAAGAACTATAGGAAATTATTGCAGTGAATGTCTAACAGAATCCATTGAACCTGTATATTATACTGAAATTATATAACAAACATGACCAAATAATTCCGCTCCAATCAATGGACTATACATGGTAATTAAGTAAAAAATGTTGTGGCATTTAAGGACGACGACTCCTCGCTTCCTACAAAGCAGCACTACATGAGCAAAGGCCTCCTGTGCTTAACTGTGTGTGACTATAGAGCAACTGCAAAAGCTTTTTCATAGACCAGTGCAAGGAAAGAGCCCCACAGATAAACAGATCGAGCAGGATCAGACGTTGAAGCTGGTCCTGCAGGGGTCAACATAAATCATCTGACTCATCATTAACTTTGTATAACAAATAACTTTTCCATCAACGAGTAGAAATGCCCATTGTATTATGTTCAAAATGCACAATTCAATGTGAACTGGATCATTTCAAAGAACAGCAAGTTCTTCCTATTATTATTTGTTAGGTTAAAGGCACACATGAAGGTACTTCTGGCTGGCAGAGCATAAAAAAGTAAGGGAAGA